CATGAGACTTCCGCATCCTGCTGCAGCACAGCCAGCGCCTTTCTCTCCACAGAGTCAGCCTCTTCGCTGAGCCCTGCATTTGAGCCTCCCTCTTTCTTTGCAATTTTCTCAGTCCTCCGCCCCTTGCCCTTTGCTGCAATACACTTCTGTTGCTGCTTTTTTTGCTGCTTGTGGTAGTGAAGCCAATTCTGTTTATAAACGCCAACTAAGTCGGTGCAAAAAAGACAAAAAAGCGACCACAAGGAAATGCGTCGGCTGCTGAAGGCAATACGGCGGTAGAGAAGCCCTGTATCATCAAGAGCGGTGTGCATCTGCTGGATCTCTCCCATCCCCGCCGTTGGCACTGCGGCTTGCTGGTGATATTCCAACGCACTCCCACTGAGACATGCCAGCTCCTGTAGCACCTCAATAGGCCGCAGCGGCTGCAGGCGGGCGAGAGTATCTGCCGCTCCTGCCTCTGCACGATGTGTCGGAGACCGGGGAGCTGCGAGGGCTGCAGCAAAGAACTGCGGCTGTTCTGCTGCAGCAACAGACAACGACCACACCCCTAATTCGCAACCTAGTGGGTGCCACTGCAATAGTGGCAGCAGACAATACAACAAGCACTCCCTGGCCCAGCTTTGGAAACGACCGCAAAGGCCGCTGTCACTGTTGCTGCTGCAAAGACCCTCCGTAGAAGATAATGGAATAGCTCTAGCGCGTCTTTTTAGCCCAGAAACGAACGCAGAAGGCGCGTACTGTTGAGACTGTTGCTGTCGCTGCTGCTGGTCACATGTCAGCTGCAGGAGTTCCATGAGTTTGTTCATCATCCTATGGAGTTCAGCAGCCTTGTTTATCCCATGTACCCGCTGCTGCTGCCGGTGGTGCTGCATGCGTGCTTCTAGCTGCAGGAGCAGGGCCCATTCCCTCTTTGTTTGGCGGCAAAACTGCTGTAGCGCGAGTAGCAGAGCCTTTGGGACTGCGGCAACCCTTCGCTTTGTAGCAGCAGCATTTAGGGCTTCTGAGACAAGTGTTGTGACGAGACCCCCGACACGGCAGCAAGCCCCAGCTATCCGCTTCACTTCCTCGCAGACTGCATAAGCACAGCACCAAAACAGCAGCCATCACGTAGCGACAAAGGCCACAAGGTGTTCACGCATCACTTACACGTACTATCCTCAGTGGCACCGAGCTTTATAAGTTACACAAGGCAAGCATGCATGGTTCATGTTCAAATGAGGGCCCAAAGCTGCACACAAGTACATGCCCAAAAAAACGCACTCAGGGAAACGACGTGAGCTGCTGCAGGAGCAGAAGTCAGCTGCTTTCCCTGCAGCAAATAGTCGTGATAGCCAGGGGTCCTGCCGCTGCCACCTAGTATCTGCAATAGCAGATTAACTGCAGGAAGAGTGCTGCTACTACTATCAAGGCTCTGAAAAACAGCAGCAGTTTCGGATGCACTGAGGGCGAAAGCTTGGCGCTGTTGCATCACGTGTTGCTGCAGCACAACCAGTAGCCGCATGCCCAACCCTGCTGCTATGCGACGCTCCAGGACCTGCAGAGCTGCAACCGGCAGCAACTCTCGCTGCAGCGCAGCGCGCCGCCGGTCTAAAGACTGCTTCTGATCTGCTGCCGCTGATGCACCCGCTCTGTCCCACCAGTACTGTAGCATTCCCAACGCCCGTGCAATATGTGCACACGTTGGGGTTTTGTTGCACCCGTCCTGCTGCTGCTGCTGGTGCTGCGCCCGCCAGGAGCTGCAACAAGACGACTCTAGTCTCGCTGTGGCTGTTGTGCGCAACTCCGCATGCAGGTGCTGAAATTTAGTTATTTGCTGCAGTAGGACTGCCTCCTGGTGCGGCGTGAGTACAGCAGCAGCCAACAGGGCTAGCCGCCATTCAAGAGCTGCTAGCTTTGCTGCAGCGGATTGGTCGCCAGATGCACCGTCAGCATCACCTTCTGCTGATGAAGTGCTCTCTTTGCTGCTGCCTATGATGCGGCTGCCTCTGTTGTTGCTGCTCCGGGTTTCAATGTTGGTATTGCTGGTGCTCGGGCTGCAGAGTGCAGCAGCGGCGACGCGAGCATCCAATGAAAAGAAAGAAAAGGGATGATCTGAGAAAAACTTGTAAAGCATCATGCGCACTAGCCGCAGCAGCTGCAGCACAGATGCTCCTTGGTCTAGAAGCAGCTGCTGCAGTTCTTCTATGGCTGCAGCTGGCAGGACAAACAGGGTGCTCGCCGGGCAGCACAGCAGTAACTGCAGGAGCGCGTCGTGTACTGCAGACGGCCGCAGCAGAGCTGCAGCATCAATTTGCAGCATTCGCAAAGTTGAAGGCTCCAGCAGCTGCTGTACTGCTATAGCAGACGCAGCAGCCGACGCTAACACCACTACAGGGATTCCCTGCTGTGACCGTAGCAGTGCCACCAGCAGCAGCACCTGAGAAAGGACGCGTGGGGCAAATGCCTCCAGCTCCTCCAACACAACAACTAGTACACTGTTATTGCTGCTGTTGCTTCTGCTTCTGTCTTCTTGAGCCCTGGCGGGTCTGTCGTCGGCTCCACCGTCTTCAGACGAGCTGTCGTCACTACTGCTGTCGCTGTTACCAGCCGCGGCTAGGTGCTGAGAGCGTGTTTTTACCGTGGATCCATCCCCCTTGCAGCGCGATATGCAGCAGAAGCCCCTGCTGTGTTGCTGTAATTGCTTTTGCCAGAGTTGCCCCAGTCTGCTGCTGATGTCGTGGCCCCAGTAAGTCCCCTCATCCTCTTCAGTTGCTGTAGCCTGAGCTGGGCCTGTGCCAGCGTTGCTGTCGTCACCTATCATCCCCTCAAGACACCGCAGCAGTAGCAGCTGTTGATGTTGCGCCCAAACGCCGTCAAATTCACCCCAAGCCGCAGCAGCCGCAGCATCAGCAGCAATCTCTTCTGCCACTGCTCCTGTTTCGCTTTCCACTTCCTTCTCCGGCCTACCTCCATTCCCGCTGCGGCCAATACATGTACTGCAACAGCTACTCGCCTTGAGCTGTCCGTACATTGTACGCAAGGCCGTTTGCGCATTCGTGCAACTGTTGGCCTTTAACACGACTTGCCTGAGGAACAATTCATCTTTGCTACTAGCGCTGCTGCTGCCGCGACTACTGCGGCTACTGCGGCGACCCCCACAGCAGCACTTAGAGAGTTGCTGCAACTGCAGTTGCAGCATCCGAACAGCCAACCGGTGGTCCTCGACGTCTGCTCCCACATGCATTATGACCACAGGCAGAAACTCGCAAAGGCTACTGTTGTCCCTTCTGCTGGTAGTGCTGCTGCAACTGCTGCTGTGGGGCTGCTGCAGCTCCAGGGTGCCTACAGCTGCATGGGTGCGCACTATTCGGCAGATGCCCTGTAACTGCTGCTGCATTGCTGCGGAGACCGCTGCTGCTGCTGCTAGCAGCAGCGCCTCCTGCTGCTCCTCTGCCCGTTTGCACCGCAGCAGAATTGATGGAACCTCGGAAGCAGAGGCAGAAAAGCCATCGTATGGGTACCTCCCGAAGATAGCAGGCACAACAACGGGGGTCGGCAACTGGCCGCTGCTGTTGACGCCACTGCTATTCGCTGCGGCGTCTTCTTCATCCTCACTGCATTCTTCGAGAGCCTCCCTAAGCAGCTTGTTAACTAGGGGTTGCTGCAGATCCTGCTTGGGCTGCTGCTTGTGGCGGCGCTCCCTCAAAAACGCCGGTGAGCGCCACGCAGCGGCAAGAAGAGGCGAAGGATGCTGCTTCGGGGCCGTAACGGTGAAGCAGCAGGTGTCTACTTCTCCGCTTTCCTTGCGAATCCCATCCCCGTAGGCAGCCCACGGTATGACGGGCATCTCGACGGTTGCTGTTGCCGCTGCTTGTGTTGCTGCCTTCGCTGGTGCTGCGGCTGCGCTCTTCGAGAGCGTGGCGACGAGATGCCAAACGTAGACCCCCCGCTCTCTCGGCGAAGATGCTTAGTGGTGACTGCAAGATCTCAAGCCACTGCTGCTGCTGCTGCTGCGCTTCTTTGGACAGATGGCTAGCGCCAGGGGCCCTACTCCTGTGTGTAGCTGCAAGCAGGCCTGAGGACTTGAGCTCTAGGCTTTGGCAAAGATGTAAAATGCGAAGGGAAGAAAATGGAAACATCCCAAGAGCAAAGAGGCGCTCTGGATGTGGGATGCGCTCTGGTCATTTCGGTGGGGTTGTTGTTGGCGTGGCACGTGTTCGTTTCTGCACCTTTCTCAGCCTTCAACACTTCTGAAAAGTGCTTAGAAAGACAATTAAAGTACATATTCAGAAAATTACAACCATTATCAGATTACTCTTTTACTCAGACAAGGTCAACCACAAAGTTGGCGCCGAATGTAAGGGGGCCGCTGGGGCTTTCGCGGAGACCACCATCGAGCCACATGCCCGAAACTTTATCCCTTAACACTCCACGCCAATATGTAGATTGCACATTTAACTAGAATCTTCATGGCTTTTCCCCTAGCCAGGGCTGTCCGCTGCTGCCGTACTGCTACCCTCAGCAGCCAAGAACAGCAGAAGGGGCCCCTGCCTTCTGCACTATAACATTCACAAGAGCAACAGCAAAAAGAGGCTGCGAGAAATCTACACTCAGTTTCCTCACATTTTTTGGGTTAGCCGCAGCGGCTGGAGCCCTAGGAACTCCAGTTGCGGCGCAAGCACCAGCGGCGACAGCATGAGCCGCGGCAGCGACAGGAATAGCTGGCGAACAAGCACGAGAAACAGCGAAGAAAAAGGTCCAGAAGGGTAGCCGCTAGGCCTACAACGTCACATACGCTAGGAGCAGCTCCGGTTGCATGAGCAGCAGCAACAGCAGCATCCCCGGCTCAGCCAAGAATCCTTTCCAAGGAAGAGCGCATTCGCATTAACACCAGCAGAATCTTCTGCTCGATTAGGCACAGCAAAAGCAGTGACAACCTTTACACTGGTAGCGACAAGAGCAGCAACACCAACACCAGTACCAGCTTGCGCACCAGCAGCAGCAGCATATTACCCGTAGTGATGACAACTCCTGAAGATATTGACGCTTTTTTCGATGCCCTGGTTGACGGTGTTGGCTCTCACGATGAGGAAACAGAGAAGAGAGGCGATCAGCAGCAACAGCAAACAAGGAATGGTCCGGACAACACTGGAGCTCAGGCAGCACCTGCTGAAGCAGCTGCTGTTACACAGCATGCTGCTGCAGTAGGGGATACGTCTCCAAGGCTGTCCGCGGCAAGCAAGGCAGCGCGTGCAGCATCTGCGGCGGAAGCAGCACCAACAGCGGCAGCAACAGGAACAGCTCAGCAGCCAGTCTCCAGACCGCCCGACAGACCCCAGCAGCCGCAGCAGCCTTCGCAACAGCAGCAACTTCAGGGAGCTGCGTTTTCACGGGAGCCCCCAGAGCTGCGGCCTGAGCCTCCGTATCGCTACGATCCGTACTTGAGCACAGAAGAGGGACGGCAGCAGCAGGCGGCGGATGCACAGATGGAGACAGCCAACTTGTGTGCCTCTGTCTTCGCTGTCAGCCGGCTTATAGAAAGCAAACTTAAAGAAAACGAGCACATGTTGTTTGCAGTTCATGAAAATATGACGGTGAGAGCACGAGAGCTGCCACTTTCTCACCACCCTTTTCTTCCACCTTGGTGCCTTTCTTTTCTCTTTTTGTTGTCCCTTTTGTTTTCGCCCGCATCTTTGACTCTCGCCTTTTGCCTCTGTTAAGTTGTGGCTCCTTGCTTCTACCACGTTTTACCTTCGCGTTTCCTATCTATGTCTATTCCCTCCTCTTACTTCGCTCCTCATTACTGCTCTGGCTGCTTGCTGGTCACGGCTGCCTGGGGCTTTTGTCCCGATCATCACACTCGTCTCGCGGCAGATGCAGCTGCTGCAGCTGCCGCTGCAGCTGCTAGCGCAGCAGGAAAAGGGTGTGTCCGATGCCCTAGGCCTTCTAATTATCGTTCTTGCAGCAAACACATGCATCAGGATGTTTGTGTGCACTCACATGCGGCGCTCGGTGCACATGGAAACTGACACCAGCGAATCAGAGCAAGTGAAAAAAGCGAGTGAACAGCCGCAGATTCAGGAGTCCATCGCGCAGCAGCTGTTCACCTTCGGACCCTTCATGCTGCTGCTGCTGCTGTTGCTGTCGTTGTCGGTACTTTCGCTGCAACTGTTTTGGTCTCGTGTGCGTTTTGTTTGCAGGTTGGTCGCTACGGGGAAGCGCTTTGCTACTTTGAGCGCCTGCAGCAAAACCTTCTTTTTCTCGCAATGCTGGCAGATCAGCACGTGAGTGTGATTCTGGTGTTGCTCTTATTACTGATGCTACCGCTTTGGTTCCTTTTGTAACTGCTTCACTGTACCTTATGATAGGCTTCGTGTTGCCGGTTCCATTGCTGTTGCTACTACTATGGATGCTACCCATTGTGTTTCTTATTGCCAGATTGGTGCCTGTGCTGGCGGTTTTTGTCTTGACGAGATGCTGCCAGTGAACCTGCAGCAAGCTTTGAAGCAATGGCACGCGTGCAGTGGTCGTCCTAGGCACGGAGAAAGCAGTGCCTGTTAGGCCCCGACGTCCGTACACAAGCACGTTGCATGCTTATTTCATGCTTGCGTATGCGGTGTATGTACAGCGTGGAGGCCCGACTGAAGGGTCCACTGAGGCCCAACAGCAAGCGTTCTACGCCAACAGGGACTTTTGGAGCCACGAGGAGCTGCAGCGCCTGCACCATGCCCTGCGAACTCCAGGACAAGGTACATAGCGTCAGACACTGCAGGGGCAGAGACACTGCAGACAGGCAGTAGCAACTGTAGCAGTAACTGCTGCTAGTGAAACCTATCCTTTTTGACGGGCCCACGTTTGCCTGCTGCATCAGGTCTCTCGATTGAACGCGTGGCTCTCAGAGACCGTGACTGCTGCGGCAACAGGATTTGGGCTACTGCCCATTCTTGTGTTTGTTTTTGCTGCCGTCGGCTCAGATTTGCAACAGCTTGCCGCTGCAGTGGGCAGCAAGAACTCTGCGCAGATTCTCTCCTACCTATCACACGCAGCAGATCGACATATGATGCACCGAGCGGCTGCGGGGCCAGCTGTGGGAGCTGCTGCCACTGGTCTTGTTGCGCAGAGCGCTAGTTGTACTACAGCAGGTGGAACCACAGCGGCTACTTGTGCCACTCCTGGGCCTGTCCCCGCAGTTGGTGAGTATTCAAGCGTTTGTCTCTGAAGTACCTTCTGGGTATTGCTTCGCCCTTACTACGGAAACAGATTTTGCCGCTGCGCCTACTGCTGGTGCTGTTACATAGAGGTCTAGCCTGTTCGCCGACATCAGCTGCTTTTGAACTACATCTGTCCAGAACCGCTCGCTTTTTTACTGACCTTGGTTGCCTCTTTTGCTTTTGTTGTTTCTGCCTTCTTGTCCAGTAATTTCGAATTCTCAGATGGACTTGGTCACATGACCGACAGACAATCGACATACAGTATGTCCATGTGATTACTGCTCCAGGGACTCTAGCAGCAAATGCTGCTGCGCGAACGGCACAGCCGGCACAGGAAGTGCGTAAGCAAGATGGGAAACATCAACAAACGCTGAAGCAGCAGCAGCAGCAGCAGAATGCACAGCAGCAGCAACAACAAATGCAGCAACAACTACAGCAGCAACAGCAGCAGCAAATACAGCAGCAACAGCAACAACAAATACAGCAGCAGCAACAGCAATTACAGCAGCACCAACAACAGCAACAAATACAGCAGCAGCAACAACAAATACAGCAGCAGTTGCAGCAGCAGCAGCATATGCAGCCCCAACATATGCAGCACCATTCACAGCAGCAAGTCCCGCAAGTAATGCATATACGGGAGCAGCCAAGACTACAGCAGTTTCAGCAACAGCAGCAACCTGGTACAGTGACTGCAAGTGTTCGTGCCCTCCCAATGGTTCAGCAGGGGACGCTTCTAGGGGCTCCCCTGCTGCTGCAGCAAGCCACACTGTCGGGGCAGCCGCTGCAGCAGCAACAGGCAGCAGCAGCCGCAGTGGCACAAAGCGAATCAGTGGTACAAGGCTCTGGCCTCGCTCGCCCACTGCCTGTCCCTCAGCAGGATTTGTTGCAACAACATCTGCTGCAGCAGCAACAGCTACTGCAACAGTTGCCCATGCAACCGCAACAGTTGTCCATGCAGCCCCAACAGCTGCTCCAGCAGCCGCAGCAGCAGCAAGTGCCGCTGCAGCAGCTGCAGCCATCGCAACAACTAGCTGGCCAGCAGCCTGCGCATTTCCCATTTCCACAGAAGAGGCCATAGACCACCTCTCAGACATATTGTGTACAAATGCATTTTTGGCATTGTAGGGTTGGATGTCACTTGCTGCCGTTGATCATGTTTCCTCTCAATACACCTTATTTGTTCCCTGTCTGTCTCCTTGTCCCTGTATCTGCGTTTTGAATTTGTGTTTCTTCTCAGCGGTGTCGTGGTTTCTGCCCCTTTGTTGCCCCTGTGTCTGGTTCTGTCTGATGGCGCGATCTTATTGAGAGCCTCCGCTCGGCGTCCTGTCCTGGGAAATATCATGTTTGACTGTATTTAATTATAGTTGCAGTTACAAAATTAGTGTCCCTGCATCTGCGGCTGCTCTCTCCATACCCAGCTTTCCTCTTCCTAGTGTGTGTAACCCCACAATGCGTGCTCCAGAAGAGCGTTTCTGGCAGCCAAATCGAAGCTGCTGTCCGCCTAAAGGTGCGAGATCTAGGGTTTAGAGGGTGGAGATTAGCTGAGGCGCACTGAGGGTTTATGTGTCTCCATGAAGTTGTGCTTCTGTGCTTTTCCACGTTTTCTATCTGGCACAATGCGCAGAAGTGCAACTGCAGGAGGCGCTGTGCATCTCGTTGGAAAATCGCCACTGCACGAGGTGCTGCGCATCTAGTTGCTTCTTTCTGATTCCTTTTGTGGCTGCACTCTTTTGCTTCTCTGCTTTTTTCTTCTGTCGCGCAGGCTGCTCCTCTTTCAGCTGTCATGTCTGTTTCCATCTGATTCTGAGTGCGCTCACATTTCTTTGTCAGCAAGCACCCCTTTTCAGTTCTTTGTCTCTGTTTCTATCCTTGTATCAATTCGTTTGGCTGCTTTATCCCTACCAGACTGTGCTCTGTTTTGTCGCATTTATCTATTCCATCCGGATGTGCTGTGTACAAGAATACGCTAAAAGAACACCGAGAAGAACTCAGGCCAACGGGGGACCAAAGCAGACAAAAAGAGAGATAAACTGCAAAGAGTGATAGTTAAAAAGACAAAAAGAGGCTAGAATACAGCCAGGCACCCATTAAGGCTTCAGGGGCCGCTGCGTCCGCGACGCAGGTGGCGCAAATATCTCACAGACCTTTGAGAGGAAGCGACTATGCGGTTTGGGCTCGGGCAAGGGCTGCTGAGAGCCACATTGCTGCTGCTGCTCTTGCTGCTGCTGTTGCTGCGGTGACGGAGGCTGGTGCTGTTGACGGTTCTTTGACTGTTGCTGGGGCTGCTGCTGCTGCTTATTGTGGTCGGGCGGCTGAAGCGTATCTTGCTGAGGCTTCGGTTTGTTGGCCAGTGGACTTGTTTGTGGCTGCGTACAGCATGCAGCAGCTGAAGGCGGACAAGGACCCTGTGATGTGGGCTGCGCCGCGGGCGACGATGCCCTGGTGGTACTGTTAGGAGCCTTAGGGTCTGGGTGTCCCTCGCCTCCGTGTTGTTTTGGTGTTCTGCTGCTGCTGCTGTCACTGCGAGAGTGAGAGGGGCTAATGCCCACCCCATAGTCGGCGGGGGCCGTTAGCCTGCAGACAGACAAATCACACACTATGGAAGCCATTGGAAGAGGAGACGGGAACAAAAGTAATTGAAAGAGACATATAGACACAAATGCACACAGGCGAGCCGAAAATGTGAAGTGAGAGATATTGATGCACAGAGGAACACAAAGGAAAAAACTCGAAGTAAGGGCGGCAAAAGCGTGGATAGAGGCATGCATACAGTTGATTATTTACGTGCATACGTGTGCAGTGGAAGCATAATGAGCAGTAGCAAAAGCCAGGACAATGGCACCAGGAGCAGCGGGAGCACAAGCAGCAACAGCAGCAACGGCAGCAGGCATTACCAGGGGCTGGATAGCACTTGCTCCGCCTTGAGTCTGCCCTCAGGGTTTAAAAACAAGAGGCCCTGCAGCAGCGCCTTCACTTCAGTGCTGAGGGACTGAGACACCACGTACTCTCCGGCTGCTATGTTTGCGTAAAGCTCTCTGTAGTGGAAACCATAAACAACCAGGCTGGTACGACTTTAAGCGGCCCTACCCCCCTCTTTGGCCTTATTTCCTTTTCCCCATCGCCCCTTCCCACGGCTTCGAAATTCCTGTGCACCGGATGAGGTGGCGAACACTTACTCGGGCTTCTGGCCTTTGAAGGGGTAGCAGCCGTGCAGCATGGCGTACAGCACCACCCCCAAAGACCACATATCAGCTGCGGGACCCTCATATTCTTTCTTTTTTAATATTTCTGGTGGCATATACGACGGAGTCCCACATGCCATACGGCACTTGACCCCAGGCCTCAGCAAACTTGCAAATCCAAAATCGATCAGACGCACTCGCCCTAAAACAGCCGTGTTAACAGCAAAAGCGGAAGCAACGGCAGCGTACTTACACCTTTGGCTTTATCATCAGCTGCGTGCTCCATTTAGTCAGGTAGTTGAACAGCTTGAAAACCACTTAACTAGCTAACTAGGTGGCTAGCTATGGCTAGTGGCTAGCTGTGTAGGCCGCTTTTGAGGCTTCAGGTGCTCTTCCTGCGAGTCTGTCGGTTATTAATGGGTAAGATAGACGTATGTGGAACACTTAAAGAGAATGTTCGTGGTGAAGAAGAAAGGAAGGCGAGAAGATAACGTGGAAGAGGGACAAAAACAGACGCAAGACGCAGACGCAAGGGCGAAGTCAGTCTGTGGGGAATTAGTGAGAGATACGTCGAGACAAAGACTCAGCAGAGGAGAGATACTGGCAAAGAGAAGCAAAGACACGCCTAAGCAAGCAGGAGTGCAGGGTGCCACCGCCAAGCCTAAAATGCATACTTCCTACCTCTATCATCCAGCAGCATGTTCTCTAGCTTGAGGTCCCTGTGGACAACGCTTTGGGAGTGGAGGTAGGCGACGCCCCTGGCGACATCAAGAAAGAGTTTGCGGGCGCTTGCCTCTGAGAGCTTGCCCTTGGGGTTGCTGCGAACGAGGCCGTAGAGGGAGCCCCCGCTGAGGTGCTGCATAACTATGTACAGCGCCTGGCTTTCGTTGAAGCTGCCCCCGTACTTGACAATGTTCTCGTGCTGCAACTTCCGCATTATCTGCACCTCTCGAGTTATCAGCGCGCGCTTCTCCCGCTCCATCTGGCGAAAGCCTTCGTAGATCTTCACAGCCACAGATTTACCGGTAGCCTACAAAAGCAAGCAAATCATATGCAGTGTTTACAAGCTCGCCCGCCTGCATGTGTGTTCCCATGCACAGATTAAGCGCTCAGGGTAGGCGTGGTAAGATATGGGAAGTATATGGATCGTCTTCTCCTGCCTACAGTTCAAGAGTGTTTATGCTGCTTGCACACAGTTGCATACAATTCATGTATGCGCACATATGCACGTGTAGGTGCAATCACATTCTAATATCGTCAATATAACTGTGATTGCATTCTGACATATTACCTATTGGGCACTGTGTATGTGTTTACACAGAACTTAGAATGCGTACAAGCACAATGGAGATATATGGGTGAGCGCTACTGTTTACTACTGAGAGAAGGTGACACGTTTAGAGTGTTCTGGCCTTTGCAAATACTAGACTGCTGTGAATGCATGGAAGCTCATGCGCTGGTGCCAGTTTCTTGTCTGGGTTCGTCTTTGCTTGCTTGCTTGTTCGGTTGTTTGCTTGTATCTCTGCATGCCGCGTTGTTCGCACTCTATTTCTCCTGCCCTTTGTAATTGAGGCTCTTCTCTTGCTTGATACCTTTATTTAAGCTGATCTTTCTTTAACGCTGAAAACTTGTGAGTGCATTTGTTGTTCCCGTTTATGTGCAAGCAGGTGCAAAGAAAACCGAGATACACAATAGGCATACAACTCATGAACGAATCTAGCGATGTGCATGCTTGCGGGTACAGTTACGTTTGCTTATTCATTTACTGTTTACTTTATGCACAGCAAGGTGCACAGGTGCATAGGCTCCCTTGCCTAGCACGGGCCCCAAAGCAAAGCTGTCGGCAAATTTATTTCTCTGGGATTCCCCTGGACTTCCGTTCTGCAATAAGTACAATACGTCAAATGAGAAGAGTTCGGGTTCTTGTGAGGGCCTGGTACGGGGGTACGCTAATAGAAGTGAAGCGAGTAAGTACATGTTTGTCTAGAGACTGCCACATACTATTTAGTGTGCGTTTATAGATTTAGTTTTTTTCGGCAGGCGTATTTTTGTGCAAAGGTGAGTATGCCTATACATATACAGATGCAGCGTTTTCGTGGACACCGCAGACTGCACATTCACAGATGCTGCTACTCGCCTCCGTAAAATATGAATATACGGCTATGAAGCCACAAAAGTAAGTACAAATACGCATATGCAAGTAAATATTTGTTTACTTTAGTTGTTCGACTGATTCGAGCGATAGGGCGAAAAGAATGGCAGGCAAGTGCAGAAAGATAACACGAGGAAGGAGAAAGAGAGTCAGAGATGCCAAGGGAACTATGAGTAAGGCAGCCCGAAACAAGTAAACACTGGAAAAGACAAAAAAGAGACAAATATCGCTGGCAAAGCAAAGGCAAGCACCAGGAAAGATACCATGTGTCATATAAAGTGGCTCACAAGGGTTAAGTTCGCTTGTGGTATTGTTTTCGCTCCGTCTGCTTTATTCGTTTTCGAATTCATGTCCAGAGGGGGTTGAGGGTGTAAGAACAGTTCCTTCTCATCAGACAAGCTCCTCAGCACAGGCGGGCGGTTTCCAGAGGCCCCAGGGGCCCCTGATACTCCGCCCTTCTCTTCAGCAGGACTGCGCAAAGTAAACTTCAAGGACCCCTACGTTGTAGCTGCGTTTTTCCCAACGCAATTTCCGTATCAAGAAAACCTTAAGTTCTAATCCTAGCCCCAACGCCCTCAATTATACAGTTCTACTTCAGCCTTTTACAAGGCAAAGGTGAAGAAGAAGAAGTGTGAGAGGAGCAAGAACACCAGCTAGACTGCGGCAGCAGTTGCCGCTGCTGCTCTCTCGTCGCTGCAGCTACTGGTGCTGCTGTGTGTACACAGAATGGCACTGAAATTCGCG